TCACTCTAAATGAACAACTCAAAGTTCTACTAAACGCGAATTTAATATTTTCTCTTGGATCAAAGAGATAAAACAAATAGTTAACTGTAATCCTCTTAAACACAATATAATATCGAAATAAGAAAAGTGTATTGAATACCCAAATTATAGGTAGGTACATAAACATTTAGGTATATGAACATGAAGAAAACATCTACAAATATCTATAAATAACTAAAAAACAAGTCAAAATATTTTGAAAATTGTATTATGTATAAAATGATAAAATAAACGTTTGATGAAAATTTCTATTACCTACGGTTATTAGTTTTTGAATAACCAAAAAATAAGAAAATTGCTGTATGAAAATTTGTTAATTTACGGGTGAATTTCCAATATCTAACTTCAAACGCTCGTAAAAAATTAATTTAATTTCCGGTTAACTTTTTTTTTGTTATGTAGGAAAACTTAAGGGGAATCTTCTATTAAAATTTCAAAGCTTAGATATAAATAGTAAAATTTTTATAACTCGAAATAATTGGAAATAATTGCAAAATTTTAAAATTTTTGATTCTGTAAATAATTCACAATAACAATAAATATGTAAAAAAATTAAATTAATACAATTAATAACAATAATAACTTAATTATGCTATTACTTGTTTTGGCCTTGAAAACTACGGAAATGTGGAGCCAGAAACGATTACCTGTGTGTATGTATATTTGTAATTCCCAAGCACAAATTGTTTTCAAGATAAAGATACCAGCTGCTGTATGTAATTTAAAAAATATATAAATTATTAATTATAATTTTTCAGAAACGTTCTTTTATTTTTAGCTCATAAGGTTATTATGTTACTTGAATGTTGATAGTTGTCAGTATTCTGTTTAAATTATTTCTTATTTTGTTTTGACTTGGATACCTACCAACTAAAAATTTCTTCTGATGATTGTGGAGTGTAAATCTCCTCATTTATATACATAATAGGTGTATCCAAGTCTTTAAGTTAAGGGGTAAGGGAAGACGGCTTGAGACAGGCCCTTAGCCAGACCAAATCTTCAGGCGGGGCAATCAAAATTTTAGGAGGGCAGTAGAATGCATTACTACTTGACCATAACATACCATAACATACCACTACATACAAACATTTAATATTTATTGGGGGGGGGCAACCATTATGTCCAGGAATTGTCCAGGATTGTTGCCTTCCACATCCCACAAAAAAAAAACTAAAGACTACACAATTACAACATTTTTTTATGAGTTTTGTAGTACCTACCATAAAAGCTTCATTAGAGTTCGGTATGGTCTGTGCTTTATCTCACCAAATCTCAAATACTATTTGTTTATCTTTTGAATGTCGTGCCTATAACGTAGGATTATATTATGTTGTTTTGGAAAGTACCTATATACATTTCAAGAGCATATATAGGAAATGTTAAATCAAACTTTGAGGAAACCGATACCTATCAACCATATATGTAAGGGCATTCTCTGTTTCTGCTCTGGGAAACCAAAATAACATTTAAGCCAATTCCCAATATTGGCACTTTTGTTATTGTACTCAATTACTCGAGCGGGGGAGTACCGAAGTGGATTTTATTGGAGGGGGGAGGGGGCAAAGTTTGTAGTTTGGTCAACTCTAAAAATTAATCCGGGCCAACTTGTTTTTATTACCTATTTTGTTGGAGTCATTTCATCATTAGGCAGTTAAAATGTTTTTATTATATAAGTATATACCTAAAAAATTCAAGTTGTTTTACTTATTATGAAAAAATAATTAATTACACCAATATCTATTGATCACTTGCGCAATTATAAAGATTAAGACTTAAATATACTTTGGCGCTTTATATACAAAGTAAAGTATTTATTAGCGAAGAAAAACACAATTTTTGTATGGAAAAATAATTAAATAATTTTTTACCTAAACAAATAGTGTTCAAACACCAGGTATTTAAAATGTTTAATATAGCTCACTTGTTGGAAAATATGCTATTGTAATGGGTGTGTTAAATTATAGAATGATTTTGATAAATTTTGTCAACATTTAAACTTCAAATGCTTATAAAAAAAAATCATAGTAATGTATTTCTGAGATTTTAACATAATGATGTTTTTGGGCTGGGTACAGACATTTTATTTTTCAAACAAATTTTTCCTAATGCTTTGATTATCACCATAGAAACCTAATAAAATGTAAAAATTACATTCTCTCTAGGTATATATAGGTATACAATTACCATTAGGGTAACTTAATAATACAAATTATTGTTACGATTCATAAATTTTCTTTGAAGTGTAAAATATCGAGTAGCGTGTTACATGTATGTCACAAAATCGTTTTTATTTTAATTGGTATATGAACAATATATGTATGAGGAACTTCGTATTACATTTTCAAAATTTTTGTTCAAGCAAAATAATTTTTACCGACAATTTAAAAAAGTCGAAAAACGATTCTGAGCGAAAACGGTCAGTCAGCCTATGATCTTACTAAGTATATTTGATGATATTAAGGTGAATAAAGTGAAATAAGGTGAATAAAGGTGTATATATAACCTATTTACGTGGAACCTTGTTTTAAATTTTCAATCTCTAGCTATAAAAGTTGAACATTTTATAAATGTTTAATTACAAAATTATTATTAAATGTTGTCAAAATTTGAACTTTAATATTTCTAAAAAAAAATTGTGCCTATGTATTTTTAATATTTTTCAACTGCTATTAAATGTTCACCCTTTTTTACCCAATAAATAACATTTTATTGATATTTATAGAAAAAAAAACTAAAAATATTGAAAACTGACAATGGCTGTAAACAGCTCAAAAAGATGCAAATTATTTTCAAAATTGTATGGTGTATAGAAAATGGCAATATAAACATTCGGTGAAATTTTCAAGTATCTATAGTCATTCGTATTTTCATTACAATAAAATAAGAAAATTGTTATATGAGAAATCGAGTGAATATCAAATGTTGTAAAAATATGAATTTCAAACGCTCATAAAACATTAATTTGAGGAACTTGTAGCCTTTTTTTTTTTGATAAAGGTAGACATACTTATGAGGAATCTTGTATTACATTTTCAAATCTTAGATTTAAAAAGAAATTTTTTTATGAATTTCTAACTAAAAATAATTTACAAATTTTAGTCATTTTTCCGTATTTTGTCAATATTTGAACTTTAAAAACTTATAAAAAAATTGTGACTTTGGATTTTTAATTTTTTTCATCTGCCTTTGAAAAAGTATACTAGGAGACTTCTTTTAAATTTTCAAGCTTTTTTAACAAACAAATAAAATTTTATTGATATTTCTAGAAAAAAAAAACTAAAAAAAACGGAAACTGAAAATGTTCGTAAACAGATCAAATTATGTCAAAATATTTGGAAAATCTTATCAAGTATAAGAATTCATAAAATGAACATTCAGTGAAATTTTTATGTATCTACAGTCATTCGTTTTTGAATTACAAAAAATAAGAAAATCGCTACATGAGAAATCGAATGAATATCCAATATGTTGTAAAAATTTGAATTTCAAACGCTCATAAAAATTCAATTTGACTTTCTTATAGACATTTTTTAGATTCTGAGTGGAACGATGAATGTATTGATTTTACAATGATGTGTGTTTTTTTTTTTATTTTTGTGTCTGTCATCACCTTTAGGAAAAACGGGAATTTTTACGCCAAATCTGTTTTCGAGAAAATCAAATTTAGTTTGGTGTACCCCTAAAACAAATGAATGTATGTGCACTAAATTTTCATTAGTTGTTTATATTTGCATTTTCTATACACTATACAATTTTAAAAATATTATGATTTGTTTTGAACTGTAGTTAAATACACAAAAATAAGCAAATTATTTTGAGTTAAAAAATTTTTCTTTTTAAATCTAAGATTTTAAAATGTAATACAAGCTTCCTCATAAGTTTGTCTACCTTTATCAAAGAAAAAAATTTCTCTAAGAAAGACAAATTAAATTTTTATGAGCGTTTGAAATTCAAATTTTTACAACATTGGATATTCATTCGATTTCTCATGTAATGATTTCCTTATTTTGTTGTAATTCAAAAACGAATGACTGATGATACATGAAATTTTTACTGACTGTTTATATTAGCATTTTCTATACACCTTACAGTTTTGAAAATATTTTGACTCTTTTTGAGCTGTTTACGGACATTTTCAGTTTTCAATTTTTTTATTTTTTTTTATATAAATATCAATAAATTTTTATGTGCTGTGCCAAAAAGTGTAGAAATTTAATACAAGACTCCTGATATATTGTTACAATATTAGTTGAAAAATATTAAAAATACATAAGCACAATTTTTTTTTATAGTCATTTTAATTTCAAATTTGGACGAAATTACATAATAAAAAATCTAGAATAACTATTTTAGTTATTTTGTTGTGATTGTATAATATCATTCGTGGGTACTTGAAACTTCTAAAGTACACTATTACATATCTATGATAGTATCAGGGTTTGTTGTTGATGTATAATTCGTTATTAGTACCTAATGGATATTGTGATATGATTAATTTGGAATTTTTTGTATGTACATTTTTTTTTAATACCATAGATGATAGATATGTATATAATATGTCTTATACCTCCTAAACTGACATACCGTCTCCGTTCAGAATCGTTTTTCTTATGCATTGATATTATATCATTGAATTCAAAATTAATACCATCCATTATACAGTAACCCACTTGTAACCTACTGTAAAGCCGAGCGACATCCACTTACCCACCTTTTTTACATGTTATATTATTTTGGATTTAAATTTAAACAGTAGGTACCAGGTACCCATCCAAATATTATATGGGGCCATACTATTACATTTTGTGAATTATGTTACATTAATAAATAGAGAATGATTAATGAATTTGTATGAGAAACATTCTTTATCTACAATAGTATACGGTAGAAATTAATTGTTTTGTGGTCTAATCATAAATTAATAATAATAATAATAATTATTATTTTTTCCTGGTTTGTAGTTATCTGTATTGTTGTCTGTCTCATTGCTGTTACAAGTGACTGTGACTGTAGTTTCTGGCCAAGAAGAATATGTGACAAAGCCAGATCTCGATAATGCAATTTTGGAAGTGTTTCCTACACCTCCAACTCCATCACCGCCATCGGATCGGTGTATATGTGTACCATACTATTTGTGCAGAAACAAGACTATTAATACAGATGGTGAAGGATTAATAGACATTAGGTATGTCTTATCATTATAATTTTATATTTATAGGACTAAAATGAAATGGAATATTCTACCTGCAGTGGTCTGAGGTGTGATTTCACATTTCAACACCATTCGATGTTTTATGGATTGCAAACGGTCATGCCATTTGTGATCCTATAAATATATCGATTGCTATATGAAGAACAAAAGTCAAAAGTACTTACATACTTTTGTAAAAAACAACGTTCTCAGACATACTAGTGTGGCATATTGTATAGTGTATACATGTGAAAGGCTTGCGTTATGATAGACATGCACTCATACAAATATAAATGTAATATTATTATGAGAATAATTATATTTACAAAGCATTGAACTAGTCGGTATTGAATTTTTACCCGCTATGTGTTGTCTCCGTCTTACTGACTCATAATATATCAAATTGTAGGTTCATAAGAATCCACTTTGATTCGTTTACATAAAATTTTTTGATTTTGAGTATAATTTTGATTATGATGTAAGTTATTTTTTTTTAAGGGGGTTTGAAATTTTAAATACACTTTATACCTACTTTATAGTAATAAAATTCTTCAATCTTCTAATTCAATATTTTTCTGGTAGGAAAGTTAATCTACTGGGTATTTGGGAGGGTAAAAAGTAAAAAAATAATTTTTGCTCAAAACTGGTTGTAAACTTTTAGATTCTGAGCTTAGCGAATGAATGTATTGCATTTACAAAGATGTGGGTTTTTTCCGTCATCAACATTCGGGGCAATGATCAAATTTTCGATATCAGCACTTTTTTTGATATAAAAAAGAATGTAGTTGGTGCATTCGGGAGGTCAAAATTGAAATTCCCAGTAGTTTTAGAAAGTGTCGGGAAAAACAAAAAAAAGGGGGGAAATGTTAATTTTTACTCAAAAGTAATTTTTGAAAAAATCGATTTAATTTTTTTGGTGTAACTCAAAAACTAAAATCCCAGACACTTGACATTTTCACCAAATATTTATATTAGAATTTTTCATATAAGGTAAAATTTTCGAAATATTTTGACTGTTTTTGAGCTATTTATATCTTTAAAAAATTATTTGAATTTTGAAAATTTTTTTAAAATTATTCTTGATAAACACTTTTTCACTTGGTAAAAAACCTTGAATTTTTAATGCTAGGTTCCTCGTAAGTTCCTTTAGTGGAAATTCCTAAGATCCTATTTAGGGAATTAGAAGAGCACCTTTCATTATGAGTAGATAGGCAATTACTTTAACGCGTGTGAATTTTAGATTATCATTTATAATAGTGTCGCTACCAGCACCTCATATTTGACTTCTTATTGTGGATTCCTGCGAAAATTATGGCTGTGGATGTTAGACCGCATAGTTTATAATATGAATACAAAACTGGTAAACGGTAATCGTTCTATTGAATTAACAATTAAAATCAACTAATACATAAAAACCTGACGAAATTACACTTGTACATAGAATGACTGGATTTTAACTGTATAGAAATATTCATTGGCCTATTTTCTAGGTAATTGTAGAAGTTTAATTTTGAATAACATTTTCATTAAAAAAAGTTTGAAGTAAATATTCATAATTTGAGAATTTTAATAAATCAAAATAAGACATTTTTAAATATTATCACAATTGAAATATCAAAAATGTATTCCTAGAATAAGTAACCAAGAAAGAAGGCTAATATTAAGCTAACTCTATTTTTTTCAAATAATATTTTAATTCAGTTATTCTAAGCAGCCGTAATTTTATCTGGCTTTTATGGTTTACGTCTAAATCATTAAATAAATACACTGCTTCTAACAACATTGTTCCTCGAGGAAAACAGGCAACTGAATATATGTATGTATTCTTCGAGGGCATTTATCGTTCTATTAGGCATAAACGAGCATTTTTGCATTTAATCTCCAGGTTTAAAGAAGGTCCGTGTCCTAACTACTTGGACGTGTGCTGCTACGATCCAATGAAATCATCTGAGACTACAAATATATCTTACGAAGAAAAGCGTACAAAATGTGGCCAGTGGAACTCTGAAGGCGTAGGATTCAGAATAACTGGACACTCCAATAACGAAGCACAATTCGGCGAGTTCCCCTGGATGATGGCGATTCTTAAATTAGAATTTAACCAATCTAAAACTTACCTGTGCGGTGGTTCATTGATTCACCCACAAGTCGTGTTGACTGCAGTCCATTGCGTCCACAAGTAAAATTTTAACTTATTATTATTATTTATTGTATTTAAAAAGTTTTACTGAAACTTGCAAACACTATATTATATTAGTTATTATTAATGAATTGTTTCAACTGATTTGTACTTTCGAAAAGTATACGAATAAATGTTGGTATGGTTTCTGTCAACATTTTCTATTTTTAATACATGCTTTTAGCTTTTATCAACCTTTTAACAATCTTTAATGAATATATTCCATAAATTATATTTTATGAAGGATGAAAATAATTAAAATTTATCCAAGACTTTCTCAATAACACAGGACAAATATTTTCTAAAAAATAACAGTTACAGAATTTAATAAAATATAAATATGTCATTATAATATTCCAAAATAATTTCCTGATTTAGTGATGTATCTGTATATATATATATATATATATATATATATCTGTATATATCCACTATCTGTGTATAATCATATCAGTTTGTTCAAATAAGTGAATGCTCAATAACCAACCTCATACTTCAGTTAGTATTTTGCACATGTTTAATATATGCATAGAGGGGCATAATTTCGTTTTTACATATTATATATAACGTTACCTATGGTATTATTGGTATTATTGGTGATAATTAAGTGTTTTTTATTTTTCACAAAAGCAAAGACCCGAACGATCTAGTAATTCGTGCTGGCGAATGGGATTCACAAACGGAAAACGAACTGTTACCGTTACAAGACGGTGAGGTTTTGAAAATAATCAAACATGAAAAATACTACGGTGGAGCACTTTTCAACGACGTAGCACTAGTCATTGTCAAGAAACCGTTCTTACTCAGAGAAAATGTGGGCACTCTATGTTTGCCCAAACCGAATTACTTGTTCGACAAAGAAAGATGCTACGCCAGTGGTTGGGGCAAAAATGTATTCGGTAAGCATGGTAATTATTAAATAATATACCGATGTACAACATTCCGTGTTGTGATCTGTGAAATATTATTACATTTATTACCTATATGTTTGGTCATTGAGTATAATTGTGTAGAGATGCTGAAAAATCTGCCAAAAATGTCTACGCTCGTTTCAGAGGCGAAATCGGAACTCCCAACATCGTCAACCAGTCGACCTATGGGGGTTTATTACTTTCCACGATAAGGGTTTCATGAGCTGTGAGCAAATTACATATTGTTATTTGTGTTTCATCTTACATTTTCTTATTCTTCTTACTTTTTTTAGATTCTGAGCGTAGCATGAATTACACGCAATTACAAACGTTGTATTCACAACGATTTGCGTTTTTTTTAAATAATATTTTCTGTCATCCACATTTGGGGTAGTAAATATGCTCCAATTTTTGACATCAGCATCTTTTCTGATAGAAAAGCGAATCTAGTTGGTGTATTCGGAAGGTCAAAATTGAAAATTCCCAGCAGTTTTAGAAAGCGGAAAAATTAAATAAATAGTATTTTTACTTAGTAAAAAAGCTTGAATATAATGCAAGGTCCTCAAAAGATGTTTTATTAGCAGTTAAAAAATATTAAAGATACATATGCATGATTACCTATTAACTTAAATAGAGGTGTATGATACTGCAGTGGATATTTTTAGTAAAATTTTATGGGCAACATTAAAAAAAAAAATTTCACGCAACATATTATGAGCTTAAAAAACTTTTCAGTATTAATTATATTAATTAATAAATAATAATTTATAATAATAGTTATTATATTGGTTATTCATAGAAATTTACAGAATATTAATGATATTACACCAATACCATTGATTATAAATACTATACTATTTTTACTAGTATTTATAACCAATGGTAATACGTTATACCTACGTCTCATATTATGCTAGTATATAGGTATATTTCATTTAGGATTATTGTATTTTGTAATATATTATTATTATTGAGAATAGGTACTGTATTTAGTATAATTCCAAGCACAAAATATTAGATTTTAAATTATTTTATACTTATGTACCGAAAATGATGAAAGTATCGTCCTGTCGTCGTAGTTACGTAGGTGACCTGGTACCTTGAAGGCTTGAACGTTTAAGGCGGGTTTCCACAATACACGTACGCGTTCACGTGCATACAAATCCTTTGCTGTGTTTGGTTGGTTATGTTAAGTTACCACACGATTAACCACGATACCGTGTTGTTGGACATAGCTGAACATTTTTCGTGTACACGGCAAACGTGTATGGTGGAAACCCGCCTTTAAACTGTTTAAACTTCAAAGGTTCAAAGGGAAATAATTATTTAGCTAATATCTTGTAGGAACAAGTAGGTAGGTACTAAAATAAAATCAAAAACAATCAATTTGTAGATAATAGATATTTTCCGGGACGACAGACGACCAGATGAAACATGTTGCATTGTATTATTCCATGGATACCTACGAGCTATGGTGAACGGTTACATGGGTTTTTCATTCCCAATAATTTTTTGTCAAACGAAATGATATACGTCATAAATAAATAACAAAATTAAACATAATAAATAAAATTATATAATAATTTCAAACATCGAAATTTTTACAAATATCGTTGTCACCCAGTAATTAAATATATCATCAACTAGGCCACAACAATTTTTCTCTGGGCGACATTGCTGTCGCCCAGTATATTAGTTAAAATATCCACTGTGATACTGTGCAAAGAAAAGTGGCTAAGGTCATTGATCTAAAATTACCACAGTAAGCTATAATTTTAAAAGTATATGTGATCTGTCGCAATAAGAACTTGTAAAAAACTGATACTGCCTCCCATGCAATTATAAAAAGTGACATTTTTTGCCGATTTTATAGTAGAATTTATAATCGATTCAAAGGATGTCGCACTTAAAAAGGTTCACTATAAGAACACGTTCGTAATGCATATTAATTGAACATGAAAAGACACAAAAAGAGACGGTCTCGCATATTCATCGTAAATGGTTTGATTATTTGTGTTCATTTTTTGGGTGTTGATCATTATCGTGTTTATAGTATATTTTTAACGAATGAATACATTTTTTTTTTAATTTATAGAATTATCGGTATATGTAGTAACAGATAAGGATAAGGGTTAACCCCTATGGTGGCAGCCCTTATAGGTAAGTTCATATAGATAACAGGTAAACTATAGGTCATATTTAAGTTCCAATACGACGATTTAATAGATATAAAGTAGGTAGTCTAAAATATAATTTACAAAAAATATTTCTATCACAATACACTATTTATAGTATAGATTATAAGGTCATTACCTGTATTACCTACAGTGTATTTAATGTCGTTGTGTGCTTGTTTTTTAATGATTTGGATCGATAATATGGAATTAAAAACAAAACGAAAATACTAAATAGGATTCTTTATTTTCAACTCTCATCAGCAAAATCAACTTATTTTTAAATGGGTAATAATTATATTTTTAATGATTCTGGTAGAGCTTTTTTTCTGAAAATGTTGATAGTAAATCGTCAATTTGGTTTACCATGGTCTGCAGTAGTATAATTACGGTCCTCTAAAGCTGAGTAAATTCATTAGACTTTTAAGTGGAAATGATTTGTATAAATGTAATTTATCAGAGCAAAACAATTTTATCGACTACCTATGATATTACTTATAAGTTATAACCTATCTTTTTACGCAATTCGTATCTTTTTATACACTTAAATTCGGTAGTATAAATGACACGCTCCACACACAAATTTGGGATAACCTAACTTACAAATAGTTGGCAAACATAGTTAATTAATTTTAATCTAACCTTTAATAATAAAATAAGTATCATCATTGTAATTATTATAATCATAATTAATTGACTTGGTACTTTATATCTTTTTCTACGCAGTTAACTTTCTTGTAATATCATAAATTTGGATTATTTTTTAGGTATCTAATGTAATATCTAATGATAACTATTTGATTATTATTATAATAATATTGAAAATTTGTAATTGACTTAGATTGAAAGTATAACTAATTTAAGTACCAACTTATATTGTTATTGACTATTTATGTAAATATCTTGCAAATGATTTATTTTAAATAATGATTATTAAAAGATTATTGTTATCAAACTTAGGATAACCTATTAACTTCCATATGTATTAGGAATTACCAAGGAAAATTGTTGGGGTATTAATAAATATAGGTAAAACTAGGGGTCATGCCAGGTCATAGCCTGACTAATACTGACTTAAAATAATTTAAAATTAAAATTAAAAACTTATTTTGTAATTAGAATTTTCTTCGTTATTGGTCTGACTCTAATTCTCATGTCTTGATAAACTTACTCAATATATTTTTTTAACTCATTGAATTTCCAACTTTAAGTTATCATGATTTAAAATAAACCATATATTTACATAAATAGTCAGTATAAATATAGGTACATAGCTATCTTTGTACTTTAATGTGAGTTAATTACAGATTTAAGATATTTTTATAATAGCAATAGAATACCATTATTACCTAAGCCAACCAAAAGCAATCAAAATGTATGGAATTGTATGAGAAATATTATATTTCTTATCTTATATTTCTATATTTTTGCGTCATTATATGTTTTGTTTAATGATGTATAATATATTTTGTTAATCGTTATGTTTTGTTTTACGGTGTTTAATTATCCTTTATTATAGCCTTCCGTTATAATAACATTTACAAATTTCAATCGTTATTTGTCAAATATAACGTTTGCAAGCCCCTGAATTAATAGTAGGTAATATAGTATAGGTAGGTACTTTAGATTTATTTCAGAATTATAATTCTTTTATATTCCAATTGCCTTTCAAAAAATAAATATCCCAACAAAACTCTTAATGGACAAATTACAAATAGTATATACTAATATTAATTACTTATTAGTACTTTCTCGATTATTATCACTTAAAAATGTTAATTGATGTAATTTCAAAAGTTGGTTTATTAATCTGTAAATTTGTTTTGACCTTAGTAATGTTAGTGTTAAGTTAACGTGATGTTTTGGACACATTTCAGTATTCATATTCAAGGAATTGACTTATTCTTACAGCAATCCGACTATTTGTTAGGAATCATAAAGTATTAAAGTACTTAAATAAATTAACATTTTATTATATCTGTCTTGTGGGAACTTAACTGTGTAAACTATTTTATCTCTATGTTGGAACTTACCACAAACAATTTGAAATACATAATATCTACTAATATCTATATTGAGCTCCTTGTAAGATCTTACCAAACCCCAGTGAGCTCGACTGGCATTATAGGTTATATATTTACAGTGGTCTAACGGAGCAGTGGAAGTATGGTACATAATATTATGTACAATATTATACATATTTATTAGGAAGACCTTTAAACATGACATAAATAATATGAGTTAAAACTAATACAATGACATTTTTATATGGACAATTAATATTAAGCACCTAATAACAGTTAACAAATGTATATCCAGTGGCGTATTTAAGGGGGGGGGGGTAGTGCCATTCACCGTAGTTATCCTTTATTACATACATCATTTTTAAACGGTAAATGTGAGTTATCAATATGTATAATTTAAATATTTTTATTTGTTTGCGCCTTCCTCTCCACTACCTATTAGATATTTCTAAATACGTCCCTGTGGCCATATGTATACCTTTAGCTTAATGTTCAGCTCCCCAATAATTAATATTTAAGTGACACAGGTATTACATTATACATATATAAGTACAATAAATTATGTTTAATTTTTTTTCTATTCATCGTATAGGTAAATCTGGCGTATATCAAGTAATTTTGAAAAGAATAGATTTGCCGATCGTGCCACGTAGTTCTTGCTTGGCACTGTTAAGAAAGACCAGGTTGGGCATGAACTACAAATTACACGAGAGTTTCATCTGTGCCGGTGGGGAAATTGGCAAAGATACTTGTCAAGTAAGTGTCTTCTAACATAATATAATATTATACTATCTACGATTTACCTTTATAGTCTATACTGGCCATGAGTTTGTAAAAAACGCTAGTTTTGATATCAAATAAATATTATTTATTATATAATTTATTTGTTATTTTAGAACACATCTAAAAAAAAAATACTTTATTACAGATTAAAGTATTTTAGAGTAAAATACTCTAGTTTAAACCTACCTATAAATTAAAACTTTTTAAAAAATCAATGTAAAATGTTGTAAGTAAATACTTATCGGCTACCAGTATACTTATTACTTGTGAACCAATTCATGAAACAGATTTCGAATGAAACATCCTTCACATTGCAAAATAATGCAAATCTCATTGAAGTCGAGGCTATAGCTATATAGTCTATATAGTTATAAATTATAATTGTTTTTTCTTATAACTAAACAAACTATTTAATTAATATGAAGTTCTTAAATTTACTATAAATTAATATTACTTATATTAAATTGTACAAATCGTTAGTTTTATCTAATTATTTTGTTTAATATTCTGGTTGTTTTTGACATTTTATGTCTTTGCTTTGGCACATAGAATCGAAAAACGATACATTGCATTACAAAAAAATGTTACGTTTTATTTAAAAAATCAAAACTGTATGGTGGTTTGTTCAACGAACATAAAAGTTAAAAACACAAGATCATAATATAGTGTGTCTTTCGATAGTTTTTTAATATTTAATACCTACCCATGTTTAAAAAAATGTGACTATTTAATTTTAAGTCTTTTTTTTTTAAATAATAACAGTTAATTAACAGGTTACATGGTTATCGTAATATCGTTATTGTGTTTTATTTAACCTATCTCTTTCATACTGCTACAGCCATATTATTATTATTATTATTATTATTATTATTATATGTATTATTTTATTACATTATACAGTCACAGTTGAGAAAAAAAATGTACCCACGATACAGTAGACATTATATCTATACGTTATATATAAATTATTAGTTAAAAAAAAATGTAATAATGTAATGTAATAAATATTTTCTTTTTTATTGTGTATAAATTTGATTTCTTAACTAAGACTAGGTTAAGTGGTTTTTTTTTTCTAAATCGTTTTTCTGTATATGATCTCGTATAGATCTCACCTTGTAATATTTGTTTACATAAGTCCCAATGTGCGGTCTACAGGCGTTTTATGTTCTACCTAACTTCATAACTACTTAATACTTCATGTATGGTTGTATGGGATTAGAAAAGTGTCACTTTAATGTGTAGCATTAAACATGCACCATTTAATACTTTAATAATACAAATTAGGGATGTTTCCAAGTCTATTTGCTATGTGTATTTTCTTGGCCTAATGACTAATATTATAATATTGTGTCTATAATCTTATAAACATATTGTATTTATAGGGTGACGGCGGAAGTCCTCTGATGTGTCCACTTGAGAATAGACCACAACAGTTCCATCAGGCCGGAATCGTAGCGTGGGGAATCGGATGCGGTGACGAGACACCCGGCGTGTATGTGGATGTGGCCATGTTCAGAAACTGGATCGATGAGCAGATGGTTAAAGAAAATTTTGACATGAGCTACTATGATCCTGATTACTTTCCACAAGATTAAATTTTCTCTAATCACTCTTCTTCATATTGGCACACACATACCCTACCGGTTCCCACTCACCCTCTTTCTCTCTCGATCTCTCGCGACTTTTTATCTTTCTGTTAACAAACCAACCGTTGAATGAAACTAAGGTGACCAGGTTAAGTGGTACATTCGTGTTGGAGTGTATTGGTGTGTCAAGTGTATTTATCATTATCATTATTAATTATTATTATTACAATTATACTTATTACCATACCGAGCAAAGGCATAATGAGACATGAGATGCGATTTGCATACGATCTATTTGAAATTTTAGTTTCTCGGTACCTACTTGTACCCGATTTGTAAAAATATACAACAGTAAGAAAAGCGCTGTGCAATATACCTATAATATGATTGACGAATTATTTTCTACATTACCTTTCAAAAAGCCTGAAATTATTTTCACCGATTATAATTTGAATGTACCTACCTATTCTTATATATCTCTCATATTATGATTAAATCGGCATAATATCGTAGTTATAAAATATGTACTTGTTAGACGTAAATACGATCAGGTCTGATCTTTAGAAAATATTATAGTTTAATTAAACGAATGTAATTATAAATTATCCACAGTTCTATTGACTATTATTATATTGTTTCTTTTGAGTTGAAAATATATAGCAGGTACCTAAGGTTGCATAATTTATTTAAATGTACCTATAATGCATTTGTGTTGTATTATTATATTTTTATGAAATAGGCATCATTTGAACTTGAAGCTACAAACTATAAGCTAAAATAATGTTGTAGGGCTTAACCCAAATATGAAGTTATGAATACTCAATTTTTTAAACTTACTTTGCACTATTTAAACTAGAAACTATGAAATAAATAATTAAAAAAAAAATAGTTATGAATTATGTTTTGTTTTGTATTTTAATGTGCCTGTGTTGAATGTTGTTTGGCCCCGAGTAGAATAATTGCATTTTGTTAAAATTTTATCTTAGTTGTAATTTAATATTTTAATTTAAATGTAATTATGTTTGTTACAACAAAAATATATCAATAGAAAAACTATTCAAATAAAAATGATTATACTATATATTTTTTTTTTAATTTTATTGACTGAACTATAAGTAAAACTATAATAAATAATATGTTCAGAAATGTTATCTGTTTTCAAAATTGTTTCTAGAATAACTTTCTACGATGGACAAAAACTGAGTAACACTTAAATATTTGAATATATAGAAAAATTGTCACTAAGAACAACGTAAAAAATAATATAATAATATTATGATTTATGACTTATGAGATGTTGGAAAATGAACATATCCGGTTAGGTAAGACCAAGACAATAAATGTTAGTAGGCGATGTCATACTGTCGCTTCTAAAACGTTAATCGTGCATGCATTTTGGTTGCCTATTGGTGACTCCTTCAATCTTTTCAGTAGATACAATCACAAGTTCAATCTATCTAATGGTACTTCGCAATCATCGTCCATCGATTACCCTACAGTATGAAATGTTGAACTTTCATAGCTAAGGATTAAACATTTGAAACAATATTCCATAGAAGTAATTAATTCTGTTACCAAAAAATCTAAAAAATACATTCACACAATTTATTTTTATAATATTAATTCAAGTTACCGGCTACTGTATTGATAATAAGTTATAACAATATAATTATAATTTAATAATTTATAAATATAATATAAATTATCCACACTGACAAACAGTTACCGCTCAGAATCGTTTTTCTTATACAATGATATTATATCATTGAATTAAAATTTAATACCATACATTATACAGTGACCCACTTGAAACCTACTTTAAAGCAGAGCGAAATCCACTTACCCACCTTTTTTTTCTATGAATGTCAATACAATTTTATTTGTTGGGTAAAAAAGCTTGACAATTTAAAACAAGACTCTTAATATATTGTCAATATATTGTTAATATATTTTTGCTTTATGCATTCTCAATTGTTTCTTGCCAAATTCAGTAGGTAGAGTATTATTTTAGTATATGAACTTCAATCATTCATACATACACTTTTTCTTGAATAAAATATAATATGTAAGTATTACTCAATTTTAAACTTATATAGAAATATTTATTAGCCTAAATGGCAAAATTTAATACAATACAGGAAATTATATCCAATCATAATAACTATTTTAATATCTATAACCAATGGCAACCCAATATGTATGAACAAAAAAAAATTCGATTTTTGATAACAAAAAAAAAAAAGGAATATGTAAGGTACTCTATAGGGGTTGAAAACCAAGCTAAAACCTCTCGGCAAGTCACAAGGAATCTATTTGCAAAAATTCAATTTTTATTTCAGTGATCTATAAATAATAAATAAAAACATATAAAAATCTATTATTATTTTTTTAAGTCTTTAGTTCTTAGGCCTTAATTATTATAAATTGTAACTAAAATATTTTTAATTTGGTATACAATTATAATCTTATGGAAAAATTCAATTTATTTTCAGTGATGTATAAATAATAAATAAAAACATATAAAATTGAAAAAAAAATCTTGTTTTGATTGAATGGTAGCAAATATGAAATTATATAGATTTGAGATTATTTTTTAGTAATAATTCATATTGTGTTGATTTGAAACTCTAAAACTGCTTACTAATAAATTTTTATTTGGCTTAATTCGGTTTTTTTTCAGATTACCAATCTTCCTCTTCTTCGATATACGCAGACGTTATTGTAACATTCTAGAAAATAAAATAAATATTCATTTAATTTATATTTTATGAACGTTTTTTAATATAATATAGTTAGTGTTATTCAATAAACTAAAGTATATTCTATTATTACTAGAATATGCTACTTGCCACTAGGAAGTAAGAATCATAAAATCAAAAGTAATTTAAAAGAATAATTAATAATATTTTATTTCAGTTTATTCAGCATTAAACATGAATCAAATGCTTAAAAATTAAAACACAATTCTAATTATTATATGTAGGGACATACTTATAGCACTGACAAGAGCTTTCATTGTAAAACTGTGATTATGTAAGTCATTCTGGCAATCAATTCAATGAATAAATATTGAATAAATGGTTTAAAAATATTATTAACGATAAAAACATTAGTTAAAAAATTATAATCAAATCATACTATTTTCATCATGAAAACCATTTTTATATAGGTTTTGTGTTAAATTTCTCAGAAAAATAAAATTAAAAAAAATTCTGTATAAATATAATTTAAAATATTTGGTTAATGAATGAATTCATTTTTACTGTACTAATACACACTGCATAAGATTTTGAAAGGCTAATGAAATAAATCATAAATGTATAAATCTATTATAAGCTGAGATAAATATTGCTTATACTTAAATGGTTTAAACCATCTATGGCATCTAATATCTATATAATTTTAAATGTTTTCAAACCTTTTATCCTACAATATAAGCAATTAGTGCAGGCTAAAAAAAATAATGAAATTTGTCAGAATATTATATTTAATACCTGAAATAAAATTTAAATTTGCATTGAATGAAATATTTAAATACTAAATAAGTAACATAGACATTTTCACAAATTATTATGAATTATATTGAAAATAAATAAATTATGTACCGGTCTTATGTCATTAAACTGACTCAAAGGTTCACAAACTTCACCGCTATACTGCGATAAAAATTCTGGAATAATTTGATCGGCCTAAAATCATAAATATTATAATTATTGTAAGCTGTGTTATTACATAAGCTATAAAATAAAAATAAACAGTTAAAACAAATTTAGTTTACCAGTTTAAGAGTATTAACCAAGTATGGTGCCATGGCAGAATCGTTATCAGGGTCATAAAATGAAACCGCACGGCCTGAATTTCCTAATCTACCAGTACGTCCGATTCTGTGCACATATTCTTCAATGGTTTTTGGTAAATCAAAATTCACTACTGTTTTAACACCCATTATATCTGTAAAATAAAAACATGGTTTTATATTAATAAATGTTTAATTGCATTTGAGAGTTATTATTATACATGATAGAGCAATAACTAAAAATATTTAAACAAGATAATATGTAAACATATTCTATTTTCTGAAAGTTGTATCCAGATCAAAATCAATTAAATAAAAATAGCTATTCCACAATTATTATTAAATTATTAACAGATATAAAATAAAATGAATACCGTGTAAAAAAAACTGAAACTAATATAGTATAATATTTTATATTAGTATATCTGTCTTTGATTGTAATTTATAGTAAACCTAAACAACATTTTGGAATATTACATAAAAAATGTAAATGTATAAATGTTCAGCATCTAATTGTTATTAATTTATGCTTATAAATAGTTTCAATAACATTATTGAAAGCCTAAAGAGTCTAATTTAATACAATTACATATACCTAGTCCTCTAGCAGCTACAGCAGTGGCAACCAAAACTTTCATTTTTTTGGTCTTAAAATCTCTTAAGGCTTTTTCTCGTTCTGGCTGTTCACGATCTCCGTGTATGCTTGTTGTGGGATAGTTGAGTTCACTTAGAAATGCTGCTATGAAATCAGCTTGTCTTTTTTGTTCAACAAATACAATTGTACCTTGACAATCATCTGTAACAAACATAATGTATAATATTAATAAATTACTAATTTAAAGTTTAATGAAACTTATTAGGTCCATAAAAAAAAAAAAAAAAAATAGTTTTAAGTATGCACTGATTAAAAAGTTTACTTACTTGTTTCATTTAGCAAAGCAACCAACTCATTTTTTTTACTAAACTTATTAACTTCTACAAATGTTTGGGTAACATCTTTACAGGCCCCTCCAACTTCTCCAACAGCTACTGATATATAATCTGGCTTTAAATATGATTTTGCTATTTGTTGAACATTTTCGGGCAAAGTTGCTGAAAACATGACTGTTGATCTTTCTGCCTAAAATTAAGTACAATTTGTTTATATATATATTATATTAACAAATAAATGTGTATAGATAAATAATAGTTTATAACAGTTATGTCAAAGTAAAAAAATAAGCAAGATTAAAAATCTTAAAACTTTGTAGACTGTAGTATACCGGAATACATACAATATATTTAAAAGAAGTTAATATTAGTCTAGTATCATTAGATACCTATACTTAAATAAAAATTGAAATATTTACCGACGAAACCATAGTATTATCACTCAATATGCGTTCAATATCAAGTGAGAAACCCATATCCAACATACGATCAGCCTCATCCAGTACAAAAAATCGCAAAGATGAAAAAGTAATTAAACCTCGATTCACAAAATCAATTAAACGTCCCGGAGTAGCCACAATTATATGAACACCTCTCTAAAAAAACAAACTATTTAATTATATATTTCTTGATAAAATTACTATTGATTTTACCAGAATTTTTTCTTTTTGGTGATAAGTTGCTGTTCCGCCATAAAGGAGTTCACATCGAATTGAAGTACCTCTGCTCAATTTAGTTGCAACTTCACATATTTGTATAGCAAGTTCTCTGGTCGGAGACAGAATTAAACCTTGTGGCTCGCAATGATCGTAATCAACAACTATTTCAGATGGTTCACTGATTAAACTGTTTAAAATTGGTAAAACAAAAGCTGCCTGAAAATCAAAAATCAATTGAAACTCTGCCTCCAATAATAAAAGCATTTAAATAACTTTTTACTTACAGTTTTTCCGGAACCAGTTTGAGCACTAGCTATCATATCTTTTCCATGCATAATGATTGGTATAGCATATTTTTGTATTGGAGTTGGAATACTATAATTACATTTGGTCAAGTTGCATAATAATATTTCAAGTAGCCCAGACTCTTTAAATGATGTTATGTGTTTGGGTACATCCATTCCACTTACTGTACTTCAATTTATCATATTTTTCAAAGTTTAATCCTGCTTCAATCGTTAAGTTATCATTTTCCTCAAAATCGGGAGGAATATAAGTTGATTTTTGCACGACGGGCTTTTCATATTTACCATTGCCTTTATCATTATAGCCATTTTTATTTGGATTTTTGGCAAAACGTGTACCTTGCTGGTAACCACTACCACTTTTATGATATCCGTTACTTTGATATTTTTCATAATTATGGCTACTTTGATCGAAGCGACCATTGTATTCTGAAAAATTTCCAGTATCTGTACTATAGGTTACTTGCTCACTTGAATTTTGATTTCCCCAAGATTCACCAGATTCAAGATCAGTTGTATCAGTTTGATAATCAGCTTCAGATTTTGTATGATTCCAGTCGGAATTAGTCCCATCAGTTTGAATATTATCACAATGTTTATCGATTATTTTATCATCATCAGTATTACCATTGTTATTAATGGATCCAATTTGTATATTTTGCACGCATTAGATTTATCACTGTCGCTCTTCGTTAAATCCCAATCGCAGTGATCATCAGCATCCCAACGAGTATATGTATCTTTAACGGTATGACCAGTTTCATTTTGGTCTAAACGTTCACGTATTGTATTTACTCTAGGTTTATTTTCCCAATCTTCTTCCATATTGATGATTTCTAGAACAAAATAATTAATTGTATTTTAAATAATGTAAAAGAATATTGCAAAATGTCACAGATAAGTAATAATTTAAAAAGAAATTATGTAATTAATAGGTACTACCTATTTTTAATTTTACTTTTTAGAACTGAACTAAGTCATATAAGTATTTAAATTGTATACTTGTAAATAAGTTTAAAATATATCAATATTTAATTTTCTATTTAATAATATATAGGTATAATAGTATTAAATTAGAGATAGAATTTAGATGTTAACAGGAATTCCTATCCTCATAAAACATGCATTGTTAGACCAAATTTGAGGACATTAAACTAAGAAAAATAAAGTAGATTTTGGAAGTTTTGGACATTAATAACCCGTATGGTGGACAATCAATAGGTATATAAGACTTTTAACAGAACATATATTCTCACATTATCTCGTCATGCGCTTGTAGAAGTTAAATTTTTCCTTTTATAGTATAATGTATATTTTATGTTCTCATATTAGTATGCACCTGCTTATAATGTACTATATGACAAGTGCACCACCCACTACACACGTACACTTTATATTGCCTATATTAAACTCCTTAAAAACAGATCATAATATTAAAATTTTAATCCTCTTTGCATCAAATTTAAATAATATTACATTAATACACAACTACCCTACGCCAAGGTGAGTGAAGTGAACGAGCAGTGGGTGGTGAATGGGGTTTTATGACGCCTAGGAGGAAAATTTTTTAGTTGTGGGGGGGGGGGGTGGAATGGTTTGATACATTATGGTAAGCAATGACATGATATAAAAGTAAAATATTTATTATATATTATATTAAGGGGATTTAGAGTGGGTAGGTGTTGAAATATATCATGGTTTATAATAAATATTGTTCACCACAACGCTGAAGACAAGTGTCTACCACCAGGTGTGTTTTCCGTTAATTTTTTATATGTATATCAAACAATACAAAAAATATTTATACTTCGATACAGGCCAGCAAAAGATATTCCAAAAAAAAATCGGTTTTAGTGAGATTATTAATAATTATGAGTTATACGATTTAAAAGTATTATAATATTAATGATCATAATACAGTCAATGGTAGGTATAGCGTAAAAATTTGGTGAGACCGCAAAAGCGCCGACGATAAAAAAAAACATGTTACCTGTTGGCTGTTGCCTATCTACCTACCTAACAATAATCACACGGAAGTAAAATTAATGCAAATAGTTGAAAATGAGTATCAATTAATAATTAAGTGATACCTAATTACACGTGTGTAAAATGAAGTGATCGAGAAAAAATTACCATACCTACTAGATCTGTACAGACGCATTATAAATTATAATAATATAGGTAGGTACTATAATCAGTTGCTCACCTGAATCCCGTGCTCTCGACGTGGGTTTCTGTTGTAATAACAACAATTGCGGTAGTGTGCCGACAGGATGCAGGAAAGTCCGCAAAACTCCGGAACGAAATCGATAGGCCGGGAATTGGCGGAACAGTAGCAGTGTCCGTACGACAGCGACGTGTGAATTGCCGTGTTACACTAGACGCCGGTCGTCATCGTGGTCTGGTCGCGCGCGGTTCATCGGTTGGAGTGTAAACAATGAGGGAGAGAGACAGAGAGCGGGAGAGCGTTAGTGAGTGAGTGTGAGCGAGTGTGAGTGAGCGAGAGGACGAACGATTGAGAGAGAGAGAGAGAACACACGATGGAGAAAACGGTCGTGCGGGACAAAGAGGGAGCAAAGCGGCGAACGATCGTGTGGGAGAGAGGCGCTACGGTATACGTCGGCAGCGGCGCGCAACGGGAACACGTCGAAGCAATAACAATACTGTACACCTCAGTGATGGGGTGTTGGCGGGTAGAGAGATTTTTTGGAAAGACGAAATAATATTATAAAAACTATTGTTCGGACGACCCTTGACGATTCCACGAATTGTATCCACTGTAATGGTAGGTCTGTATCTGACGCTGGAAAGCGAGGGAGGATGATTCTTTACGTCTCACGCAGGGCCATAAAAATAAACGAAAAGAGAACGAAACGAAAAAAAACTAATAATATTACGAAAAACACGTGTGTGGTTCAACGCATTATATACACACACGAAAACCGGTTGAATATTCCCTGCATTCTACCTCCGTAATAAATATTGTTGTATTTCGTATAGTAATAGGTACCTATATATATTATCCAGGCTTAGCATTTCCTTCGTTTTTCGGTGGTTCGGCGTCGGCTCGACGGTACCCATTATAATAATATATAGTGCCCTATCGCATACTGTATTCTTACCATATGTGCGTACGCATGTGTATGTGTGTGTGTGTGTGTGTGTGTGTGTGTGTGTCGTGTGTGTGTGTGTGTGTCAAAACTCAAAGCTACACACATTCGCCTCTCTTCTCGTTAGCCACTATACAACCACAGTTACACCGCACCGCCCCAATCTCGGGAAGTCGGACAATCTTGAATAGTTTATAATATAATATTGTATTGATAATTTACCTAAAATATATTATACAATATTATAATAAATAGGTACCTAACAACGTCGTTATCACCGTTGCCCTCCCGTGGTCCGTCAGTAATTTCAACAACAATAGTAATATTATCTAACATCGAGTTAATTAAAATATCGTCCGTCTGTCGATTATTATTGATCACTGATCAGTCATCTGAGTTATCACTTATTACTTATTATTACTAATCATTATGGGTTTATGCAAGCCATGACTCACGAGACTGAGCTCGCGCAGTAATTACCTACTCATTAGTAAATGAAAAATGAATGATAAAGTTGTCTCCGGACTCCGGCACGAGACTTTTTCGTACAGCTTCAACGGTCGAAAATGAATAATAATTATCATTTATCACGAACGGGTCACTGGTTGTGTGTGGCATACACGTAACTAGGACTTGGTAGTTATTGGGGCAAGGGACCTATATATAGTCGGTAGTCTTAGAAAAACAAAGTTCAAAATAATCTATTTAATCTCCTTTCGACGTAAAGAAATTCATTCATAATAGGTAGTGTGAGTGTGTAGGAAATTACTATAATACATTGTAATTTGTAGCCTAGGTACCTTAATTCCTACTAGGTAGGTACAGACAATAGTGTATATTAGAATAGTAAATTAGTATATAGTTAAAAATTCAAAAAGGTGCTCTGCTGTACAGTAGGTTACAAGTTGGTCATTGTATAATGGATGGTATTAAATTTGAATTCAATGATATAATAGGTATTAATGCATAAGAAAAGCGATTCTGAGCGGAGACGGTATGTCAGTTTAGGTATAAGACATATAATATATACATTACTATGGTATTAAAAAAAATTGACCAATAATTGGTACCTATAATTAATTCCAAATTAATCATATCACAATATCCATTAGGTACTTATAACGCGTTATACATCAACAACAAACCCTGATACTATCATAGATATATATAGATATAATAGGGTACTTTAGAAGTTGCAAGTACCCACGAATGATATTATACAATCACAACCAAATAACTGAAATAGTTATTCTAGGTTTTTTTTATGTAATTTTGTCCAAAGTTGAACTTAAAATGACTATAAAAATAAACTGTGCTAATGTATTTTTAATATTTTTCAACTAATATTGTAACAATATATCAGGAGTCTTGTATTATATTTTTACACTTTTTAGAACAACACATAAAACTTAATTGATATTTATAGAAAAAAAAAAGAAAAAAATTGAAAACGGAAAATGTCCGTAAACAGCTCAATAAGAGTCAAAATATTTTCAAAATTTTATAGTGTATAGAAAATGAGAATATAAATATTTAGTGAAATTTTTATGTATCTACAGTTAGGTATTTGTTTTTGAATTACAACAAAATAAAGAAATCGCTATATGAGAAATCAAGTGAATGTCCAATGTTGTAAAAATTTTAATTTCTAATGCTCATAAAAATTTAATTTGACTTTCTTATAGACATTTTTTTGTTGATAAAGGTAGATAATCTTATAAAGAATCTTATATAAAGGATTTTTAATATTTTTCATCTGTTTTGAAATAATATAGGTACAGGAGCCTTCTATTCAATTTTCAACCTTTTTTAACCAACAAATAATATATCCCTAAACAGTTCAAAATAAATCAAAATATTTTGAAAATGTTTTCGTGTATAGAAAATGCAAATATAAACAACCAGTGAAAATTTCATGTATGGTCATTTGTATTAAAGTTACACCATAGACCAAATTCAATTTTGTGAAAAATCGATTTTGAGTAAAAAATTCCGTCTTTCCTTAATTTTTCTTTTGTTTTTCTTGGCGCTTTTGAAAATTATCGGGAATTTTAATTTTGACCTCCCCAATGCACTAACGATATTCACTTTCCAATCGAACAAGATACTGAAGTTGAAAATCGGAGCATTATTTCGACTACTTATCGTTTACACAGACACAAAAAAAAAAAAAATAATAAAAAAAAAAAACATACATCATTGTAAAATCAATACATTCATCGTTTCACTCAGAATCTAAAATAAATACAAGTTCAAAAATAATGCAAAGTAACTCAAAACTTTCCAAGTACAGAATACAATTATTAATTAACTTAACGTGAAAGCGTTCAGAGCTAAGTGTTTATAGTTGACTTATAGTACATCTGAATTAAATGATTATACGAATTATCTAAAAATATTTGTGTAAAAAGTATCTGGTTATAATTTTGAACAGAAAATATATCTGCTGAAAAAAAGATCTACGTAGGTATATGTGTATTGTAATGCATATTATTTATAGTATTTATTCTTGCCATATCATTGAAACCTCTAAGTATTTTTTAGTGATAGAATGAAACTTTACGATGAATCAACAATTAATTAAAAATACTGCTTGAATTATTTCAACAGTACCTCAACAGGAAATTTAATATTATTAATAAAATTTTTTTAAAAAACATACATTTTAATAATATTCGTATTTATTTATATGTGCAATTTTTAAAATAAATAAGT